AAAAACAGGTTCCTGAATAACATGTGTGAATGTCGTCAGGGTCTCTGTCCCATCTACTTCAGGATTTCATTAAACTCCCCAAATTTGTGGATCTGATGGATGAAGATATCCCCATAGTGCTTGGCGACCTTGGTGTCTATGATGTGGATCATGTCCTTAACGATGTAGAAGTCAACCGCTGAGGCCAACTAAAATTCACCATCCAGGGCTGAGATGCTGCTAGTCCACACCAGATTCTGCATCTTGTGTTTGAAAACCAAAAGCTGGATCTGGAACTCCTGCTCTGTAAGGTCCAGGAAGCCAGCAAGCTTGGCCACAGGCATGGTGGTGTAGAGACTGAGGAAGTTGTAGATGGTTGAAAGCTGGGCCTGCTGCTGTACTTCACTGGAAAACACCTTCAGCTGCTGTAGGAAGGGCTCTTTGTGGTAGTTGGGGTGCACATTATCATAGTTGGGCACTACAGGGGACAGGAACTTGGGGCAGGAGTAACTGAAAAGTTCTTCATAGACTTGTGGGTCACCTTTCTGCATGCACAGCAACTTGTCCCCATATTTCTCCTGCAGCTGGAGGTGAATGCCCTCATCGATATGCATGGGGTACATCATAAGGGCAATGGCCAGCAGTGCATGCATCTGATCATTCTGCTTGTTAATCATCTCATACTTATTTGTGGTCCTCTGGAACATGCTCTTGGTCCTCTGGATGTAGAGGAGGATATTGGCAAAGACCTGGATGGCATCCTGGTAGCAATGCATCATCAAATATGCAAACCCAACATAATAGTATGTGGTGACCTGGCACTCTAACACACAGGAATACATGATCTTCTGGTTCAGCTCGATGTTCTCCAGCACCTTGATGGCCTGGTAGTAATCTCCTAACAGGGAGTGCAGGCGGAGAAGCCCCACCAGGCTGAAGTAACCAAGCATCCCCCCAGCCACACTCTCAGGGTCACCTCTGCTTGTGTATACCTCCAACTGTCAGTTGATGTTGGATTTGTCTACCAGACAATGAAGGACATTGAGGACACTGTGAACATTCCAGATTTGGGGATTGGAACAAACGAAGTCAATCTCCTCCTCTGACTTCTTGGCAGTCTTACAGCAGTACTGACTGAATGACTGAAACTGGTAGATGAACTCATCAATGATATCCTAGAGCCCCTGGTTGGGTAGTTCAAGGGGAAGAGGACCATCAACATTAAGAATACAGTTGAAGAGACTGGAATTGTTGTAGTAGGATTCAAATCTCTGTTCCAAGGAAGGTCCCCCACTGACTTTGGTGTATATGTACCTGTAGTATATAATATTTTGTATAAAACCAAGAAGACAGCATTGTTGTCAAACTGTGGAGCAATGGCTGCAGCCTCTGGCCAAGGTGTATTTTTGAAGAATCTTTCAGTCAGCTTGGTCCAGCTGTTATCATAGATGTCCTGGATCCTATACACCTGGTCAATGACATCACTGGAGACACAACTGGCCTGTAGCTCATACACTTTCTGGTCAGTCAAACCCGAGACAGTTTTGTGAAAATACTGGATGGAGTTTTTGATCACTTCAGGCATCACCTGATAGGTTTGCTATTCATACTGATGTTCATAAGCAAGGTCCTGCTTTTGGATCTCCATAGTCTCCCAGATAAGTATAGGAGTCATAAGCCTCCTCAGACTCCTAATCATCGGTGAGATAAGACATGGCTGCCAGGCTCACAAACACTGCCAGAAAGTCATATTGAGCATTTTTTATATACCTGTTGGCCATTTCAATGTCTACTTTCGAGAATAGTCTATTCATGTCCTTTGCCCACTTTTTAATGAAATTATTATTAATATTATTATTATTATTTGTTGTTGTTGTTGTTGTTTGAGATGGAGTCTCACTCTGTCACCCAGGCTGTAGTGCAGTGGCACAATCTCAGCTCACTGCAACCTCTGTCGCCCAGGTTCAAGCGATTCTCCTGCCTCAGCCTCCCAAATAGCTGGGAATATTAGCACCTGCCAGTGTGCCCAGCTAATTTTTGTAGTTTTTAGTAGAGACGGGGTTTCACCATCTTGGCCAGACTGGTCTTGAACTCCTGCCCTCATGATCCACCCACCTTGGCCTCCCAAAGTGCTGGGATTACAGGCATGAGCCACCACGCCCAGCCTGGCTGTTTTTATTATTATTATTGAGTTGCTTGAGTTCCTTATATATTCTGCATATTAGTCTCTTGTCAGATAAATAGTTTTCAAATATTTTCTCTCATTCAGCAGGTTGTCTTTCCACTCAATTGTTTCCTTTGCTTTGCAGAAGTTTTATAGTTTAATATAGTCCCATTTGTCCATTTTTCTTTTAGTTGTCTGTGCTTTTAAGATCTTTGTCTAGACCAATGTTCTAAAGTATTTTTCACTGTTTCTTCTAGTAGTTTTATAGTTTCAGGCCTTATGTTTAAACCTTCGATCCATCTTTGTTGATTTTTGTATATGATGAGAGAAAGGATTCAGTTTCATTCTCGTGCATATGGCTATACAATTTTCCCAGCACTGTTTATTGAAGATGATGTTCTTTCCCCAGTGTATTTTCTTGGGGCCTTTGTTAAAAAACAAAATGGTTGTAAATATGTGGCTTTATTTCTAGTTTCTCTATTTTGTCCCATTGGTCTATGTGTCTATTACTATAACAATACCATGCTGTTTTGTTTACTATAGCCTTATAATATATTTTGAAATCTGCAGTGTGATGCATCCAGCTTTGTTCATTTTGCTCGGGATTGCATTGTATATTCTGGCTCTTTTTTTCCATAGAAATTTTAGGATTTTTTTCTATTTATGTAAAAAATGACAAGTATAGAGTTTTATTAGTTCTCTCTTTGCTTGTTTGTTTATAAAATTTGTGTTAAGTTGTCATTATCACTTTAAAATAATGGGTTATAAGATAGTATTTACAAGTATCATGAAAACTTCAAATAAAAAAATCAATGAATACACAAAAAATAAAATCAAGAAATTAAAATATACTGCCACAGAAAATCATGTTTACTAACAGGAAGACAGGAAGGAAATAAAGAAGGAAGATAAGACCACAAAACCACCAAAAAACAAATAACAAAATAGCAGGATTAAGTCCTTACTTATCAAAAATAACATTGAAGGAAAATGGACTAAATTCTCCATTTGAAAGGCTGTATAGATTTAAAAAATAGAGTGGCTGAATGGATTTAAAAAATAGAGGAGTGGCTGAATGGATTAAAAAAATAAGACCCAATGATCTGTTGCCTACAAGAAACACACTTTACATGTAAAGACACATATAGACCGAAAATAAAGGGATAGAAATATACATTCCATGCCAACAGAAGCCAAAAAAGACAAGAGTAGCTATACTTATAACAGACAAAATATATCATAGGACAAAAACTGTAAGAGACAAAGAAGGTCATTATATAATGATAACTGGATCAATCCAGCAAGAAGATACAACAATTGCAAATACATATTCACCCAACACTGGAGAAGCCAGGTATATAAAGCAAATATTATGAGAGCTAAAGAAAGACATATTTTCAAATATGATAATAGCTGGAGACTAACACCCCACTTTCAGCATTAGATAGATTATCCAGACAGAAAATCAACAAAAAAAAAAACAGGACTTAATCTGCACCATAGACCAAATGGACCAGGCTAAGAAACAAAGAGAGAAGACCCAAATAAATAAAATCAGAGGCTAAAAGGTAGATATTACAACTGATACTGCAAAAATTCAAACGATCATTAGAGACCCATGAACAATTATATGCCAATACACTGGAAAACTTAGAAAAAATGGATAAATTCCTAGATACATAAACCTAGCAAATTGAACCATGAGGAAATCTAAAATGTGAATAAACCAATAACAAGTAATAGTATCAAAGCCATAATAAAACGTCTCCCAGCAAGAAAAAGCCCAGGAGTTGATGGCTGCACTGATGAATTCTACCAAACATTTAAAAAAGAACTAATACCAATCCTACTCAAACTATTCTGAAAAATAGAGGAGGAGGGAAGACTTCCAAATTCATTCTATGAAGCCTGATACCAAAACCAGACAGAGATGCATCAAAATAAGAAAAGTACAGACCAATACCCATGATGAACTTTGAGGCAAAAATCCTCAGCAAAACACTAGCAAACTGAATTCAAGAATACATTAAAAAGATTATTCATCATGACCAAGTGGGATTTATCCCAGGGTACAAGAATAGTTTGACATGCACAATTCAATAAATAGGTTACATTATATTAAAAGAATGAAAAGCAAAAGCCATATTGTCACTTCAATTGATGTGAAAAACCATTTGATAACATTCAACATAACTTCATAATTTTTAAAAATCCTAAAAAATCTGGGTACCTAAGGAACATACCACAACACGATGGAAGCCATATATGACAGACCCACAGCTAGTATCATCCTGAAGAGAAAAAAACTAAAAGGCTTTCCTCTATGATATGTAATACCCCAAGGATGCCCACTTTCACCTCTGTTATTCAACATAGTACTGGAATTCCTACCTAGAGCAATCAGACAAGAGAAAGAAACAAAGGACATCCGGATTGGAAAGGAAGAACTCAAATTATCCTTATTCACAGATGACATGGTCTTGTATTTGGAAAAACCTAAAGATTCCACCAAAAAAACTATTAGAACTGACAAACAAGTTCAGTAAAGCTGCAAGATACAACATCAACAGAAAAGTCAGTAAGATTTTTGGGGGTGAGATGGAATCTCACTTTGTTGCCCAGCCTGGAGTGCAGTGGCACAATCTTGCCTCACTGCAACCTCTGCCACCTGGGTTCAAGCAATTCTCCTGCCTCAGCCTCCCAAGTAGCTGAGATTACAGTCATGAGCCAACATGCCCAGCTAAATTTTGTATTTTTAACAGAGACAGGGTTTTGTCATGTTAGCCAGGCTGGTCTCAAACACCTGACCTCAGGTATCCACCTGCCTCATCCTCCCAAAGTGCTTG